GGGACCTGCAGCACCTGCCTGCCCCCCCCCGCCCCCCCCCCCCCCATCTCTCTGCTGCGGGTGCAGCAGTGGGGGAGGGTATGGGGGTGGCGGGTGTGGCCAACCCGCCAGCCCTGCTGCGCCCCGCGCGCCCTGCTGCCCTGTGCGCCCCGTGCGCCCTGCTGCCCTGTGCGCCCCGCGCGCCCTGCAGCCCTGTGCGCCCCGCGCGCCCTGCTGCCCTCTGCACGCGCCATGCACAGCACCCCCCCCCCCCCCCCCCCCCCCCCCCCCCTTCTCCTCCATCCCCTGCTGAAGGTGCAGCAGTGGGGGAGGGTATGGGGGTGGCGGGTGTGTGGCATCCCCTGCTCCTCCTCCTACTCCGTCTCCCACTACTGCAGCTGCCGCTGAGGGGGGTGGGTGTGTGTGAGTCGACGGAGTGGTGCTAGGGGGTGGAGTGTGAGTGAACCTAGGGGTGCAGCAGGGGGTGTGTGAATGGGGGGTGCGGTAGTAGAGGGAGGTTGGGTGGAGGTAGCCGTCGTGTTGCTAGCAGTGCCAGTAGTCCGGAGGTGCGCTTCCGGTAGCCCAGTGATGCCGCTGCGCCAGTCGCCCGTGGGTCCGTTGCTCCTGCCGCTCGTCTTAGCCGCGGAGCCAGTTACTCCTGTAGTCCGGAGGTGCGCCTCCGGTAGCCACAGTGCGCGCCGCTCCTGTTGCCCGTGTGTCTGCAGCTTCCGCTATTGCCTCCTCTCTCCTTTCCTATTAGTCCAGCCTCCTCCTCCTCACTTGCCCTCTATGATAGCCTCTAGCTTTGCTTACATTTGTGAACTTTAAACTGTTGCTTCTTGTACTTGTGCTCAGAATGTGTGGTGACATTGTGATCCACCCTGAGCTTGCTTTGCTTTGCTTGTTGTGCTGATCATACCCCACTTTGACTATGGGGGTGTGTCAGAATATTATGTTTCTCTAGTCTGCAGTGGGGTACTTTGTAGTGAGTACAACCCTGTTAGGGTTTTCTATATGTATCCCAATGTTTGCTAGTGAATTCATCCTTTCTCATTCATTCCACTCTCGATTCTCACATTGTCACCTCTGCAAGAAGTCCGGACATCCTCGCACACACTGCCCGAATCAGCGGCAGTCGACGTCGCCACAACGTCAACTTCGGCCCTCAAGCAGTCAAGTAGCTTCAACGCAGGCGCATCCCACCAATCAAGTACAGTCTTCAACGTCTTCAACGAGAGAACCTGCACAAGGAACAAGAAATATCGTGAGCTGCATGACAAAAACGACAGACTCCTGCATCACCGGATCACCACCCCACTACTCACCAGAAGAAAAGCTCGATGAGAGCACTCCTCGCCGCGAATCACTGGAGCCCAACCCGACGTATGCAGCCATCGCCCAGAGCGAGCCGTCCGGGAAAGACACTTGGTTCTTGGACAGTTGCTGCGGACAGCACATGTGCTCCTCGGGTCGCTTCGTTCAACAAGAACATCAACTTCAGCGCGAAGTTGTAATCACCGTCGCCAACAACCAGAACCTGCACACACGACGACAAGGGATCGTACAACTTCAGTCTCGAGAAACTAACGTCATTCTACAAATGTCAAAAGTTTTGATTGCAGAAGGACTCGGCTACAACTTACTCAGCGTCAGTCAACTGATGGCGAAGGGCATTCACCTCGAAGCAGACAGCACCACTCAGGAGTTCAAGTTATTCCACGGAAAGGGCGGACTCTACATCGGCAAGGCAGTCTTGAAAAATAACGTCTTCATTCTTGATTTTGTTCTGGACCAAGGAACCGCCGATAGCGATGCCATCGTCAACTTCACTTTTTGGACACATCCACCCGACCTTGACCCCGACTTCAGTCCTCGAGGATTCTGGTATTCACATACCATACCTGAAGCAGAAAGGACAAGGGCATTAGCAAGAATCCGACAAGAAGAAACAACATCGACAGCAGCAGAGACAACATCAGCAACAGCAGCAACACCTACGGCACCAATCGCGGGCTCTTCGACGGCACCAGTTCTCATCAACAACACTCCCCCGACTCCTGCGCAGCAGTTAACTCCCACTCCACGCGAAGTTCACAGAAGCGCCAAATTCACCTCGGGTTTTTACTCCAACTCCGACCTGTACAGGCGCTCACCCGGACATTGTGCAAGCGAATCACTGTGGCACGAACGATTAGGTCATCCAAGCAACACCACGCTAAACAAAACGATCAAGGCAGCTGTACTCGACAAAGACTCACTCCTTCTACCCGACGGCAGAGAACTCCAACGAGTCCGAGGCACATGCTTTACCTGCCCCGAAGCCGACTTACCTCACCAACCATTTGTCTCTCACCACAATCCAAGCGCGCCAACTTACGCACCCTCGGAGAAAGTACACAGCGACATCCTGTATACTCGCGAACAAGGACAAGGAGCATATAACTATGTGATTACTTTCATCGACGCCGCCACCCGATACGTTTGGCACCTCAACCTCCCAAGTCACGGCATGGCCTTTGAAGCCTTCGTCGCCTGGCTACCAGTGGCAGAACGAGAATCACGAGCAAAGCTGAAAAGCTTCCAGTCAGACGGGGGAGGGGAATATCAGTCACAAAGGTTCAGGCAGTACCTCGCAGAACGAGGCATCAAGCGACTCATCTCGCTTCCCTACGCCCATCAACAGCAAGGCGTGGCAGAACGGATGAACAGAACTCTCCAGAACACCTGCGCAAAGTGTTGCGTGGCATGCGACTGCCCATCCACCAGTGGCCTGAGGCGATGGACCACGCTGTCATGTTGCACAACTTGCTCTCGTCATCATCGCTCCCGAACAACGCATCACCGCACCTGCTGTAGACAGGAAAATTGGGCAACACAAAAATGTTACGAGTCTTCGGGTGCATGGTACAGTACCGACCGCACACTGCAAGAGCCGGAAGATTTTCACAACGCGCACAATGGGGGCTACACCTAGGCATCGAAAAGCATTACAACGCATGGAAGATTTTGACGTCCACTCGAAGGAAACAATAGCAGCACGTGATGTCATTTTCTACGAGCGACTCACACTTCAAACGTACCTGGACAACCTGGCAGCACATCGAGACCTCACGGGCGGCTTTCGTGGCAACCGAGCCTTCGCTTCAGCAGCAGACGAAGCTGACTGGGACGAGCAGAACGTGGACGGAGCTTCGGAAGAAGCCGGACCTCTCCTGTATTGCTCTGTTAACATCCCCATGGACGACGACAACCCTCGCGAAAATGTCAACGCCGAAACCTACTTCGACTTCGCCGACACCGGTCATGTTACACCCCAACCGGTCGACACCAACGTCTCCGAATGCATAGGACCCAATTTCCTACCAGATCCAGAAGCGGGAGATGAAGCAGCTTATCCTGAGGACGCAAATCTCCCCCGCTACACACAGAGTGGATTGCAGATACTGGGACTCGTCACCGCTGTCCACGGAGCAGCACCACCTAAGGAGCCTGCCAACATTCAGCAGGCTCTGGGGGGGGAACACAAGGAAAAATGGCACGAAGCCATGGACAGAGAGTTAAAGGCACTGCAAGAACGCAACACCTGGAAAGTCGTGCCTATCGGAGTGGCAAGCAACACGACCATTCTCACGGGAAAATGGGTTTTCCGCATGAAAACAAAAGCTGACGGAACAATCGACAAATTCAAGGCACGCTGGGTCGTGCGTGGCTTCGACCAAGAGCAAGGACGAGACTTCACGGAAACATTTGCACCAGTTAGTCGACATACCTCGCTGCGGATTCTCCTCGCGATAGCCGCCATGAACCGGAAGAAACTTCGACAAATCGATGTCGCCAACGCATTCCTCTATACCCCCGTCGATGCTGAGATCTTCGTTGAACTCCCGCACGGGTCTAACGTAGACCCCAACCAAGTCTGTCAGCTGGAAAAGTCGTTGTACGGGATCAAGCAATCCCCGAGACTGTGGCAGCAACATCTTCACACACGCCTAATCTACATCGGATTCCTCCAACTACCTCACGACCAAGGGATGTACCGACTCACTAAGGGGACTGACTACATCCTACTCATCGTCTACGTAGACGACCTCCTCTACATAGGCTCCACCAACGACATAACGACCTGGTTTGAAGGGGAGCTGCAGCGGGATCTCACACTTACCATCGCGACTACCGTGACACAGTACCTGGGACTCAACATACAAGACGGCGACAACGCAATCTACCTCAGCGCCGAGAAATACACGGACACCATCGCTAAACGATTCGGACTTACTCCAACTACTATCACCACGCCATACTGCTACACCGACGGAAATCGCAAAGTCTCCGCCCTACTCAAACCTGCCGGCATTCGTGACTACCAATGAGAGTTAGGCTGTCTACTCTTCGCAGCCGCTACCTGCCGACCGGATCTATCCTACTCAGCTAGTCAACTTGCCACCTACCTTAAGAAGCCTGAAGCAGAACACATGCTTGAACTCAACCGTGCACTTCACTATCTCGTTAGTACCCCGACGATCGGACTAACCTACCACAAGACCAGAACTTCGACACCTAAGTTAATCGGCTACGTCGACGCCGATCACGCTGGAGACTCCGACAACAGACGATCTCGAACTGGCTGCATCTATTGACTCGAACCTATCGGCCCTATCTCATGGCAGTCGAACAAGCAAGAGTTAATCGCTCTCTCCTCGGCAGAAGCAAAATATATCGCACTCTTCTCAGCCACCAAGGAAGGGCTATATCTTCGCGAATTGCTGGAGGAAGCACAGCTGGCTCAATTACCCAGCTTCTCCCTCTTCTGCGACAACCAATCGGCCATTCGCATAGCGAACAAAAATGGGTTCGCGAATCAAACGAAGCACATCGCCCTCCGGTACTTCTTCGTAAAAGACGAAATCGAGAAGGGAAGACTCGAGCTATCCTACTGTCCCACATCCGAGATGGCAGCTGATTACTTGACCAAGAAACACGGAAAACAGAAGTTCGAGTACTGCATGCTACTGACTGGGCTCTCAATCCTCAGCATCACGATCCCCTCGCACAGCGTGCTGTTGGGGAACTGTAGCACGCTCACGGCTGTAGCGGCGCCGCCCGGGAGCAGCCCGAGCAGGCGGATGTGCGGGCGGACAATGCGGAGGAGGAGCTTGAGGACAGAGAGGACGGAGGCGACTAGCAGGCCGATCTCGGGCGAGCCGAAGATGATCCCGAGGAAGCAGCCGAGCATGACCATGAAGTCCAGCTTGTCTACCCTCCAGATCGTAAACGCTGCCTTGAAGTCGAGCTGATGGGGGGAAAGAACGGAGAAAGGGTTTAGGTCAATAGGGGGAATAGGTGTTGGGAGCAGCCGAGCATGACCATGAAATCTAGTTTGTCTACCCTCCAGATCGTAAACGCTGCCTTGAAGTCCAGCTGAGAACGGGGGGGAGGAGGGGGACAGGTGGGAGGGGAAACCAGGGGACAAGGGTCGATGGAAGCAGGCGAGCATGAGTATGAAGTTGAGCGTGTTCACCCTCCAGATTTGAAATGCGGCTTTAAAGTCCAGCTGAGAGGGGGGAGGGGTATGGATGGGAGGGGATGGGATGGGACGGGGGAAGAAGGGAAGCAAGTGAGCATGGCTACAAAATGGGTGGGGGGGGAACAATGATGGGGAGGAGGGGAGGGAGCAAGGCGATAGGGGGAAACAGATGATGGGGGGGGCAAGTGGGAGCAGCTAATGGAGGGGCACGTTGAGGTATGTGAGTAAGAAGAAACGGGGGAGGAGCAGATATGAAAGGGAAGGAGGTGGGGGGCAAGGGGATGAAGGAGGGAAGAGGGAGAATCCGGAAAGATCGGCGATGCGAGGAGCAAGGAGGGAGATAGGGAGGAGGGAGGTAGGGAGGAGGGAGATAGGGAGGAGGGCAGTACCAGGTTAAGCACAGAATTGGCGATGACTGCTCCCACCACACACTGCAAAAGGGGGGAGGGAGGGACGTGGGGGAGGACCATTCGAGAAGGGGACGAGGAAGGGGAGAGCGGGAGGGCATGGGGAGAAGGGAACAGGGAAGAGGGGCCTATTGAGGGAAAGGGAATACTGGTATTGAAAGGAGCGATGTGGGTGTGCGAGGGTGCAATGCTCGCACAGGAGGCACGGCAGGACACAGGAGGCAAAAGGCAGGACACAGGAGGCAAAAGGCAGGACACAGGAGGCAAAAGGCAGGACACAGGAGGCAAAAGGCAGGACACAGGAGGCAAAAGGCAGGACACAGGAGGCAAAAGGCAGGACACAGGAGGCAAAAGGCAGGACACAGGAGGCAAAAGGCAGGACACAGGAGGCAAAAGGCAGGACACAGGAGGCAAAAGGCAGGACACAGGAGGCAAAAGGCAGGACACAGGAGGCAAAAGGCAGGAGGAAGGTGGGGGGAGTGGGGTATACTCTGGGAGCGTATTGGAAGGTAAGTGAAAGTAAAAAGGAGGAAGCAGAGGTAAAGTGGGAGCGGAGGTAAAGTGGAAGCGGAGGGAAGGTGGAAGCGGGCACACCGGACGGAGGGGAAACTTGCACTATGCACGGATTGGACGGCAAAAGGAGGGGGAAGAATGAGGGGCCGTACAGCGGGCACATATTTGAAGGCGGGAGCAGCAGCAAGCAGCACGATAAGCATGGTGAAGGAGAGGATGATCTGTGTCAGCGCCGTGTGCGCCCCCGCTAGGATGTTCACTGCCGTGCGGGAGAAGGAGCCTGGTGGGGGGAAGAAAGGGAGCCGGGCAGGGGAGAGAGGGGAAGAGGGGATTTGGTTGGGTTTATGCAGGAAGGCACGGATGGCCACAGGATAGGCATTGCAGGAGGTGCCTTGAGAGAGGTGCCTTGAGAGAGGTACCTTGAGAGAGGTGCCTTGAGAGAGGTGCCTTGAGAGAGGTGCCTTGAGAGAGGTGCCTTGAGAGAGGTGCCTTGAGAGAGGTGCCTTGAGAGAGGTGCCTTGAGAGAGGTGCCTTGAGAGAGGTGCCTTGAGAGAGGTGCCTTGAGAGAGGTGCCTTGAGAGAGGTGCCTTGAGAGAGGTGCCTTGAGAGAGGTGCTTTGAGAGAGGTGCCTTGAGAGAGGTGCCTTGAGAGATGTGCCTTGAGAGAGGCTTTACAAGACTGGTGGGGCGCTCGTGCTTGGTGCACCTGTGCAGTGCACATGTGTGGTACTCTCTTCTCCTCTCCAGCTCACCGGGTGGGAACAGCAGCAGCGGTGTAGGGATCTCAGAGCAAGCGTGCACACACCGTGCTTGCTTGGACTAAGCAAGCTCACCGCTTGTCAACGAATTAGATCGCAGCGTACCTGTGGCGACATAGCAGGAGGTGAAGGAGCCTGAGAGGTTCATGGCTCCGTAGGCTATGAGCTGTAGGCGATGAGGTGAGGTGGGAGAGGAGGCGAAGAGGGGGGGGGGCAGGGCGGGAGGGGGAGAGAGGGAGAAGAGAGGGAATTTGATCGCTACTGTGAGTTTGGTTGGGAAATGGGTGCGATTGAGGGTTTGACAGGAGCATGAGGCAATTAGCTGGCGACCAAGAGGTGAGGAGGCGTGGAAAGGAGAGGATGCGAGGGAGGGAGAGGGGTTGGTGAGGGAGGGAGTTGAGCTGAGGAAGGGTGAGGAGGAGGCGACAGAAAAGAGTGGGGAGCTTCTTGAGAAAGCAAGAGTGGGGAGCTTCTTGAGAAGGCGAGTGAGTGAGGTCTGTTAGAAAGCAAGAGAGTGAGTGTGGTTGCAAGTAAGTGTGGTTGAGGGAAAGTGCAATCGCGAGTGTGAAAGAATGTCATTACGCACCTCTTTGTTACCATCAATGTGGTAACCATACATGCCCGCAAATGTGCGCCCTATGCCAATCAACAGCGACACTCCAGAAGCGAAGGGGAGTGTTGGAAACTTCTGAAGTATCGAAGCATCGACATGAAACAGAGCATACCACCGCGAAGCAACACACGAGTCAACAAAAGCAACCGCTGGAGATTACGCGAAGGTCAAAGGTCGCTTACTTTTGACTCGACGAAAAGTACAATGTGACAGGAAGGACACATAACTGACTCGATACTGAGCAGTTACCCGAGTCGACACTGTATCGAACCGCAACAGCAAAAACAGTTAAAAGTATAACTTTTCATATTCCCTTGTAATCATATAAAAGGCATGTATCTCTCTGCTATTATCAACTTATCTTGTTCTCACACACCAGTACAAGGTGGTTCAGCAACTTTGATATTAACGCTTCCGCAAACTACAACATTCCTACTTCAACTAGATCTTAGCCTTGAAAGATCCTAAGGGCTATTTCTCAGCCCAACATACATGAAGGGAATGCAGAGAGTTACGTGACTGAAGTGCTGTACTCGACAAGTATCTGAGCTGAACGGATCGTGAGGAAATGTGTCCAGTACGCCGACGCACTAAAGCAACATTCATAGCAAATTCAGAAGATCGGCTCGAAAGATTCCTCTGTCCAGACGGTATACAGTAAGTTTTCAGAACCTTTTTAGGCGTTTGTGAATTAGGGGGGTTAAAACTTCTAGTCGTCAAGTACAGGATTTTGTTTCCGCATTTAACCAGATACGGTACCGTAATTTTCTATGGGGTGTCAAAGTACAATCTTACTTGTAGGCTATAGTGGGGCAATCCTTATGGGGTACAGCACTTCGAGGGTTAGTACTTGTACCCCAACTCTTGCTAATCCAATCATCTCTGCACAGTGATTCTGACATGGTATTCGGAGCAGGAAACCTGTTAAGTTTTTAGGGCCCACCGATAGTTTCGCTCGTTCCTGCCCGAAGCGCCCTTGCGCTGTCCGGCCTTGCTCGCACAGTGTCGCGCTGCCCTGCAGCTACTCGCACTGCCTGCCCCCCCGCACGTCGCGCCCTGCTGCAGCCCGCGCGTCGCGCCCTACTGCAGCCAGCGCGTCGTGCTCTGCTGCCCTGCGCGTCACGCCCTGCTGCAGCCAGCGCGTCGCGCTCTGCTGCCCTGCGCATCGCACCCTGCTGCAGCCAGCGCGTCGTGCCCTACTGCAGCCAGCGCGTCGCGCTCTGCTGCCCCTCGAATCGTGCCCTGCTGCCCTGCACAGCGCACGCCCTGCTGCCCTGTCCACCGCGCCCCCTGCCCTGCAGCCCGCGGCGCGCCCTGCCCGGCCGAGCCGCGCCGCCCAGCCCGAGCCGCCCTGCCCAACCCAAGCCGCGCCGCCCTACCTTGATCACCAGCCCCACCGAGCCGCCCTGCTGCCACGACTGCTGCTGCTGCTGCTGCTCGTGCTACTGCTGCTGGTGGTGGAGGTGCTGCTGGGAGTGTTGGGAGTGCTGCTGGTGCTGGGGGTGCTGGAGGTGCGACTGGGAGTGCTGGAGGTGCTGCTGGTGCCGGACATGCGACTGGGAGTGCTGGAGGTGCTGCTGGTGCCGGAGGTGCTGGACCTACTACTGGCCGTCACTGCCTGTCATGGCCACTATCACGGCAGTTGCAGCAGCTAGGGGTGGACAGTGGCGGTCACTGCCTCTCCCGGATGACCCCACCCCTCAGCAGCTTCGCGAGTGGGTTCTTCAGCGAGCCCGTCCAGGTGGTGGAGGTTTTGGTTTTCTACGTACACAGAGGCGGCAGCAGAGTCAGCAGGAGACCTTCTCCCCTCAGGTGCTTAGTGAGTTGTTTCCTCAGCGATGTGTCACTGGATCTGTCGAGGCTACTGCACTAGGTGCTAGTGAGTCTGCTGCAGCTTTAGGTGCTCGTGCGTCTCCCACCACAGGTCCTTCCTCAGCTGAGGCCTTGCACACTTTCACACTTGACACAGGCGCGTCACGTTGCTTCTTTCGTGACTGCACCACACTCACACCACTTGCTGCACCGGTACCGGTCTCACTGGCTGACCCCACTGGGGGCCCAGTAGTCGCACAAGCCTCCACTGTCCTTCCGTGTCCAGCAGTCCCATCCAGTTCTCTGTCAGGTCTCCACCTCCCCACGTTCTCGACGAACTTGGTGAGCAACGCTGCCATTCAGGATGTCTGGGTTGATACCTTTATTCTTGGAGGGCAGCGTGTGGCGATCTGTACGTGCTCCCGGACTGGCCGTCACCTGGCTACGTTCTCTCGACGGCCTGGGTCTAGTCTGTACACACTAACCACTGCATCTGAACAGGTGGCTGAGGCAGGTCGGGTTGCTGCGTCGAGTCAGGTGTCTGCGTCTGGTCAGCTTGTAGCGTCTTGCTCGTGTCAGGTACTCTCCCACCAGACTCTCCTCTGGCACCACCGCCTCGGCCACCCCTCCCTACCGCGTCTCCGCGGTATGCACTCCCGTCTCCTTGTCTCTTGCCTTCCCAGGTCCCTGCCCTCCCTCCCGCGCTTGCCTGCCCCGCCGTGCCTTCCCTGCGTCGAGGGGCGGCAGCGCGCCACTCCTCACTCCTCCGAGTTTCCTCCGACCACTGCTCCTCCGCAGACTCTCCACATGGACGTTTAGGGCCCAGCCCCTGTCGGTGGAACGGACCAGGAGCGCTACTTCCTGCTGGTTGTTGATGACTACACACGTTACACCACTGTCTTCCCCTTGCAGCGCAAGGCGGTCGTCAGCGGTGTTTTGATCCCCTGGATCTATGCTACTCGTCGCCAGCTGCGCAAGCGGTTCAGATGGGACTTCCCAGTCCTGCGTCTGCTCTCTGACAGGGGCGGTGACTTCTCTTCTGACCTCCTTGCGGAGTTCTGTCAAGACGAGGACATCGTCCAGTCGTTCACGCTTCCGGCCTCTCCTCAGCAAAATGGGATTGCTGGAGGTGCTACTGGAGCTGATGGCAGTGGAGGTACTGGAGGTACTGCTGGTGCTGGAGGTGCTGGAGCTGCCGGAGCAGGTGGTACTGCTGGTGCTGACGGTGCTAGAGGTGCTACTGGAGCTGCTAGCACTGGAGGTGCTGGAGGTACTGCTGGTGATGGAGGCGCTGGAGCTGGAGGTACTGGAGGTACTGGAGGTGCTGGAGCTGCTGGTCCTGGAGGTGCTCGTACTAAAGGTACTGGAGCTGCCGGAGCAGGTGGTGCTGCTGGTGCTGGAGGTGCTAGAGGTGCTACTGGAGCTACTGGTACTGGAGGTGCTAGAGGTACTACTGGTGCTAGAGGTCGTGGCGCTGCCGGAGCTAGTGGTGCTGCTGGTGCTGGAGGTGCTCGAGGTGCTGCTGGAGCTACTGGTGCTGGAGGTGCTGGTGGTGCTGGTGCTGGAGGAGCTGGAGCTGATGGTACTGCCCTGCGCAAACCGTTTTTCTTCCCGCAGCCGCAGTCGTCCCTGCCGCCACCTGACTCGGTCCTTCGCCAGATTCTTAGTCTCCCGTCTTCCAATGGCCTCCCTCTACCCCTCCTGTGTCCACCGACAGACCAGTCTCAGCCACAGCTACTGCCAGGCTCCCCGCTGCCTGCGCGTGCTCCTCACACTGAGGTGACTGAGTCCCTGACTGAGCGTCGTGAGCCTGAGACTCGTGCTTCCTCACCTGTTCGTGCTCGTCGTGTCGCCCGTCCTCGTCCTCCTGCTGTCCCAGGCACTCACGGTATGGCACTTCGTCCTTCCTCTGTTCCACAGCGTGTTGTCCTGCCTGAGCCTCCCGCGTCCTCTCTTCCGCACGTTCCTGACCCTGAGTCCTACCTTGCTCGTGCTGCTAGTCCTACTGTCACTTGTCTCCTCGCTACTGTCGTCACAAACCCTGACCTTGAGTCTACTGCTGCGTTTGCCCTAGTTACTGAGCTAGTCGACTTTGCAGCTAGGAGTCGTCTCGACTACGTCACGAGTCTTGTCACTAAGTCTGAGTCTGTCTGTCCTCCGTCCGTCGGGGGTGAGCTTGCCCTTGGTAGTGACGTACTTGAGGATAGACAGTTTGAGCTTGAGTGTGTTGCGACCGCTTTACCCCGTTTTGCATCCATGATGCTTTGCCCTGAGGGAGACCCGGATGCACTTGACATCCCTACCCCGCGCTCTTACGCTGAGGCGATCGCGGGTGAGTACTCCTCTCAGTGGCAAACAACCATGGATGCAGAGATGGCTTCCTTGAAGTCCACAGGCACCTACGTCGACGAGGTTCCTCCTCCTAGGGCGAACATAGTCGATGACATGTGGATTTTCATAGTAAAGCGGCCGTCGAGTTCTCCGCCTGCCTTCAAGGCGCGTTACGTTGCTCGAGGCTTCAGTCAGTGACAGGGGGTTGACTTCTTCCAGACCTTCTCCCCCACCCCGAAGATGACTACTCTTCGGGTGCTGCTAAACATTGCAGCATAGCGTGACTACGAGCTGCACTCCCTCGACTTCTCCACAGTTTTCCAGCAGGGCAGCCTTCACAAGGAGATCTGGCTACGCCGCCCACCCGGCTTCACTGGGTCGTTTCCTGCGGG